ATTTTTGTACGTATTAAAATGCTCAGAAATTTTTAACGCTTTCAAATCTGGGGAAAATTTTATGTTTATTTAAATATATCTTAATAAAAAATATTCCGAATAAACTAGAGATTTCACTTGCAAGTTGCTTTGACGTTCGAAATGTAAACTTAATCAAAAAACTTTGGCAAAAACGGGAAATGGTAGCGGCTATTAATTACATTTCATGCCAACAATTAATTGCCTTAAATAGCCAAAATGAAAGGTTTTTAATTTAAGTGAGCAAAATTGTAGATATGCATGCCTTCGACCATTCACATGTACGTAAGTAAGTACGTAGCATGTATGTATTAAATTTGTACTACAAATTTGCCGTTGAATGTGCTACATCGATTACGGCGAATAGAAAGTAGCGAAAGGGGAAGAGTGTGTGTAACTCAATCAAAAAATTAATTTACATTTCAACTCAAATTACCGCATTAAAATCGAGCACTGTACAAACTAATAGTAGTAGTAAGTAGGTGCATGTGTGGTCTAAAGTAGTTCTCTAAGCTCACATATCGTACTAGCGCTCAGCACAGACCAGACCAAAAATTGCATTTAGTTAAACACATCAAAATGCAATTACTCAACACAACGTAATTATACATTTTTCAAAACATTAATTGGACCCACTGTGCGCTAGCCGAGTAATACACTGTACCTTGCCGCACCGCTTCAATTGACTAAATGGCTGGTTACACATGGTATGTATCATTTGCCTAGTATTTTTAATGAAATATGTAGTTCCATGGAAAAGGAAATCCATTTTTGAAATCCGTCGAAGTCGGCGCAATTCGCCTACTTGCCACCAACGATGAGTAAAGCGGGCAACAAATAGCACCCGACGCGACTTTGCCTCACCCGGCTACTCTGCCAACTAACTCTATATGAAGAACATATCATTAACGCCACCCTGACATGCGCTCTCCTAACTCACCTACTAACCTTTTTTTTTGCCAGCCAGCTCGCAGTTAGGAAACTCTTTCAAATTCGAAGCGTTGCAGCAGCTAATGACTTCCTTGCATGTCACAGGATATTTTCTCTGGGCAAATAGCTAAGGAATGACTGTTAAAACTAGCTGCTTGCCACCCAACGATGCAAATGTGTGTGTGTGTGTGTGAACTTTTTGTTTTCTGACGAGGTCGTTTGTGGGTGAGCATTTAAAATAGCACTGTGCGCAGCGAAAAACAAGCGGCGTTTAAGAATTTTTATTGCGCCACATTGTAAATATGACGCGACTAATTGAATGCCGTTTGTTGCAATGCACAAATGTTCATATGAATATGTATTAAATAAAGTATACCCTGCTGGGAAGTTTTTGGGGAAAAGAATTTTTGATTCAGAAATATGTAGTACGTCTGTCAAAACTTCGAGTCACTAGCGATTAAGGCCATCTGGGGGACAGCTTGTGTCCACTAATTGGATGAAAGTTTCTTATTTCAGCTTAAAAGCAATTTGAAAAAATTTTAAAATTTAAGTAATTGCCGACTTCAAAAAACAGGCTTGCAAAATAGCTAAATAACCCTGGCCTGACTCTAGCAGTACGCAAGCGTTAGACCAGCTTAACAGATCCATTACGGGGCAGACAGCTAGTAACACTAGTAGCAGACCTTTTAGGAGCTCCCATAAGTGAAACGGATTCATTGGTGAATCAAGGTGATTCGTCAAAGCAGCGTAGGATCTTGTTTGATTGGTTTAAGTGGATTGCCATCTGGTGCAAGTTTACTATTTTCTTTCCACAAATCGTGCAACCTACAACCATTTGGCGACATAAATGAATTTCAGTACGTTATACAGAGATCGGCAGCCAAAATACACTCAGAAATATTCTAAAGGAATGGTTTGCCGAGAGTCTTTAGCCTCATTCACAGCAAGTGTTCGACTGTCTGTTTTGATCCCGGATCATCGAAACTACGACCGAACCTATTGAAGGGCATTGCAATCCTTTCGGCAGGTACCTCAACGGACCAATGCCTTGTGCACACTGCAGTAAGTTTATAGGTGTCTTCTTTGCTCAGTACTAAGAGAGATTTGGTTTTGCAATGGTAAACGATACTGAACGGTTCCACCTCTGCTTGGCCTTCGAGTGATAAGATTCGGCGACGCATGTCCTCCGCGGGGGACACATTCATTGATCTCTCTCTCGTCTACAGTAATCCACTAGTTGAGATATAACAGACTTAGAAGAGAGAGCCTGAATGGCCGCTTGGTTATCCGAGATTATATTCACCTGCGTTCTCGCGGGTACATTCTCTTTGATGTACCTTACTGCCTCTTTAATTGCAAACGTTTCAGCCAGGAAAACGCTTGCATAGTCTGGTAGCCGATATAGTAACTTGTTTTATATTGCTAAATGTAAACCCCTGCACCAAGCCGGCATTACATCTTTGATCCGTCCGTAAAGATAATTGAGCTCTACAAGAACTGCACCTTTCCTTGAGTCCAGTCACTGCAGCTTGTTAAGTTCTCGCGGGGTTCGTGGTGAACCCAAGTTTTCGAGGGGATATTGGCAGCGCTTTAATTTCAGGCACTAATGAATCAAGGATAGAACCGTGTACAAACGGTCTTTCTTTTCGGGGCCCCAAGGTACGCAGACTGATGGCGGTGTTAGCAGCTGAATTTTCGAGAAAGATATCAATTGGCAATAAATCAAAAAGGACGGCCAAATCATGCTTCGGACAAGATCTCATTGCACCTGTTACGCCAGTAGCTGCTGCCTTTCAATTCCGCTTAGTTTTTTTGCCACGTAATCCCTACCGGCTGACCACTAGACAAGCGGGCTATAAGAGAGTATGGGACATTCTCATAGAGAGTCACCGATGTCTTTCTTGCACGCATGGAATGTACATAAACAAAACATATTCCACGAATTGTGCATAAAAATGGCCCCAGTTGTATACGGGACAGATTCTAGGAAGGACTGCAACCAACCAACCGGGTAGCTCCTGCTATATGAAATGATATTATCATTAGTCCTTGAGTGCGTGGGGAAATTTGACTGCTTTAGTTGGCGTAAAAAGATCCAGTTGGCATGGGAACCAGGCCACAAGGAAGTAGAGGGAAATAAGGTAGCTTAATATCAAGAGAGACGGCAGTTGTCACTCCACAATTGGATCCGATCCTTCGCTGGGTATATGTCCTCATACGATTAAGGAAGAAATCAGGAAAGAGAGAAAAGCCTTGAGAGATTTTTTAATTGGCAAAGTTTAGTAGGATAGCGACAGGCTAGGATTCTACTGGGGGGATATATAGGTCGTGGTGGAAACTTCGTTTCCTAAATCTATCACCAAGTGGATTTTCCTACCGGGTATAAAGTAGAAACCATAGTACAAGCTAATCACTTGGGTGGTAATGCTGATATATGACCATTTCAACGAATCGTTTGTAGTTGGTCGGTGGGTATGTCGTAGTCGTTGATTTCTTGATATTGCGCAACATATGATTAGTGAAAGGCTATGTTTGGGGGTGGCTGAGGTTGCTGAGTTTATATTGAAGGTGGTCAAACCAGTGTGTGAGTTTCGAAATGGGATATCTATGGGAAATACCTAATTAAATTGTAATTACCCGTTTTACGCTGAGTGCTCAGTCAAATTGAAATTTGAAGTTATACAATTACCTTCGAACGAATGAACGTTAATGGACTTTGAAGGATAATCGATTTGTTGAGAAAAGAAACAATCATTTGTCATTCATGTTAATTCGGTTGTCTTGGCTTTATTGTGGTGAGATAAGCATAAATATAATAGTAACTTTTTCATGCGCTCGTATTAGTCGGAAAGCTCTAACAGGCGTTTTCAAGGAGGTAAATATGTATTAATATTGACAAATGAATATGATTAAAGGACAATTTTGTCAGACTGAAATTACAAAAAAAGAACCAAAGATATTACTTGGCTGAATATAAAATCAATATTGTATATTTTTCGAGCTCAAGGTCACATGTTTGGTCGAGCAAATATAGCCAGAAGTTGTTTAGGATGACTGAAGTCGAAATATCCACAAATAATGATGGCTGCTTCTGGAAGATCACCTAAACATTATTGTCTTTCACGCAGGTTTTATAATATGAGGTTGGGTTACCTGACCGCTTGGAGTTCAGAAGACAGTGGTCAGATAAGCATTACACTAGTAGCCAGAGCTGTACTCTGTATACCTTTAAAAGCTCCGTTGATCGCCCCGGTCTAATTGAGTGATACGTATAGGAACCTAACTACATTATAGACTCCCAGAATACACCTCTAATAATAAAGGGAATAATTTACTTCTAGCCAGCATCGATGTGCAGCAAGCGACTCCAGCCGAGATGAGTTCAACTCTTCTTATAATTAAGGATTTCCAGTAGTTAAAAATAAGCCAGTGTCTTTAATCCTAACTACAAGCGGACAGCGGAGGTACAACCTCCAACCTTTTTTATTTTGCTCTTAAGGTGGCGCCTTTTGCAAGGTCGGGCATGCTTTTGCTTCTGATCAGGGATGGCAAGATATATTAAGTTTGAACAGCTCAGTCGATAGATTTGGCGTGTTCACCTCTGACGATTGCTGTTTCTGCTCCTGTTTATTCATAGTTTGCTGCCTTGGAGGCACAAAAGTGGATTTCGAGCAGCACGGTCATCAATGATTTTGGCTTTATAAGAGAAAGTGATACTGCAAGGACATAATCTCAATTATTCCCATCAGGACTTCTTACAACTAGGGGCGCCGTTATATGACTAGCTAACGTAGTACCATTCTTGAGCTATCCGCTATGTTATCAACAATTTAGTTTTCGAATCAAGAGTACTCTCTTTTGTGCCTACAGTGAACTAGTTAGACTCGTTGAAAGCTTTTTCTTAAAACTTTTTTTTTCGTTAGTATATGTAGCAGCGATTCGATCAATTAAAAGACCTAAAATTGTATCCCCTCTAAAATAAATTAGCGCCTTGCAAATATTTACTTTATTTCCTTACTAACTATACTAAAAATGTCCATTCTCATTCACAGCCAACGATGACGCCACCGATCTCCGTTGCAACATGTCCCTGGCGCATCTGCGCAACATGGATAATCACATGGCATCAATGCTGCAGCAGTCAACACACCACAAGCATGTCACATTCCCCAATATGCAATCGCCACCAGGCGCACATCATCATCAACATGCTGTCGCCTTGCATCTAGGTACGCCCCCACCGCCGCCTCAACACTCTGCGTCGCATCATCCGCACCAAGCACTCAACTATCACAATGCCTTGATGAGCTTTCCACATCAAAATATCACTTCTAGTGGTGGCGGCGGTGGCGCCAATAGTCATTTAAACTACCCGCCACTGGAGTCCGGCAGCACCGATTCGGGCAGCACACGCACCAGTCCGTCCATGAGTAGCGGTGATTATCTCAATTCGATGCATCAGATGGTCGAGGCGAGTCATCTGCAAGCAGCGCTGCAACACCATCCGTCACACCCGCATCATCAACCATCAACGGGACCGCCTCCGCCGCCACATTACAGTCACCAACAGCATTTGGCCGCTTTGGCAGCACACGCTCAAGCGCAGTCGCAGTCGCAACAGGAACAGAAATTTGCTAAATCATCGTCGTCACCAACGACATTTGCCAATCAGTCATACTTTAGTCTCGCCAATGGCTCCGGCGCACTTTGCAGTGGAAGTGCTGTTGCCGGCACGGCTATTGGTAGCAATCACGCCAACCTGCTTGATTACGATGAGCACTCAATGTCTTCAATTTCGGCGAGTGGCGAGATCGATGCAGGCGATGATGAGGATATGAAGGACGGGCAAGGCGACATATCCGGACC